CCCCAAAACCCCAAAACCCCAAAACCCCAAAACCCCGTATGCTTACTGATGGTTGAAACATGCCTGGGCTTTCAAAGATGGTGAAACTTTAGCTTAGTGGGTACGGGAAAAGGGATGGGTTTTGAAGGAGAGGAATTGGGTGGGTATTTTAGATGCCTTTAGAGGAGTTTTGGGGGGAGTAGGGAAGGAAATGGATTATGTAATTTGAAGCGAAAATTAGGATAAAAAATGATCAAAACTAGTTATCTTTCAACAGAGTTTTTATGTGCATGCTAATGAGGTGCTTTTTGTGTTTAATTTTTCCCTGTTGGCATGGACTTCTGAGAGGCTTAAAATGAAAATATTTGTTACAGAAAAGAACCCAAATGGAGAGTATTTCTCTTCAGCTCCATCTTGAAGAATGGGCTGCAAGATAAATCTTAAAACAATTGAGTTTGTATTTATCGAAAAATTATTTTAAGAAGACACCTCTATTTTTCGGTGATTGAGGTAATGGTCGATCATTGCTATCATTTCCTCGGCTGTGTAATCGAAGTTGAGGCCGGCCTTAACTCCTTTGAGGGCAATTGCATACAAGTCGTAGGTCCTGGCAGCCTCCTTCTCAGAAAGGAAGATATCAATATATTTCTTGGTCCTCCCAATATTGATTAGAGCCTGCCAGTGAGCATTGTTTTTAGAAACTCCAATGTATTGAGATCTTCTATTACTATTGCCCGACAAATTTCCTCTTGCTTGTTTCTGTGAGCGATGGAAAGCTGAAATCCCTCTCTTTAGGATTTGGCTTTTAACTCTGATGAGTTTTGATCTAATCTCAAGTTTTGTAGAGCGTCTCCTTCTCTTTTTGATAACCTCAGATCCTTGTGTCCCATTTGGGGTTTCAACAGTTTCTCGAAAACTTATTTGTTCAGGTAAATCACATTTATTATCTTCCGATTTTTGGCTGTCTTTGGCTTTTTCAGTTGGAAGGGAGTCTGTTTGCTCCTGCTGCACAGAAGGACTATAAATATAGGGTCAGCACTTGCTGAGACAGAGAGATATAACAAATTTGGTTACTTATCAACTTCTAAAATGACTTACTTAGTATCACAAGAAGATTTCAGATTATTCGGATATGAGCAGCTCTGTAAGTCTTGATAGCTTCCAAACCTATTGAGGCTTGGGGGAATTTGCTCTACTGATGGACAGACTCAATAAGTCTGGGCTAGTTGGTGGATTAGCACTACATAATCTTGGTTGAGAGCATCATTCCATTTTGAAACAATTGGGAAATTGGGTAAGTTAGATAAATTCATAAATATTATTAACATCTCCCTTTTCAAACTTATATAGCTATCAAGAACTTTGTAGGATTCTGAAAAATGCCAAACTAAAGAAGCTTATTTTTGAAACATTTTTACACCTTAAACAAGCACAAAACTTATAACTATAAGCTTTCCATTGAGTAGAAAACTCTTTGAAACTAACACTAAAAATAGGGTAACTTGGGTTTTAAAAATATTTAATGTTTCTCTTTGTCAGCAATAACGCTGTTGTTTATCAATAATTAGAGACTGCTGCAAATATTTTGCTTTTTAGCTATTATATGAGCTGCCAGGTTCAAGCATAGAGAGTACTTAACTTTTTGGCAAGAATCTGCACTCTCCTATTGTACATAATTTTTACAAAGGCTAACAGACTTTATAAAAATTCGGACTTAGTCAGCCTTGCTATTGGAAGGAAATAAAAATGATTAGGAGAGACTAACTCTAGCTTTGTGTGAAGATAATATTTGAATTATTCATTTCCTCCTGCTCCTAATTGCAGTTTCTTTTATTAAATTGCAACAAGTTTTAAGAAAGTTGAGTTTCATGCTCGGCTCAAATTTTTTCATTAAATTCGGTGACTTAATTTTAAGAGATCTTGGGACTAGTGAAAGGGTATCTTTAGATAACTTAAGGAAAATTTTCTGCATATTCTGAACTCGAGATATCATTTAAAGCTCCATGATTTAACAAAACCGTGTGGTATTGTAAATTTTATTAGAAATAATTTAAAATTTCCAATATGGAGGACGGTGATATCTTGTAATGAAATTTAAGGTTAATCACTGCTTAGTTCTACTACAGGCAACTTTTCAATAAGTCTTGCCCTTAAAAGTGATCATTGTTCAGCTCATCTCACCATCTTGGAGGTCCATTTTTATTTGGATAAAATATTGAGAATCTTAAGATTAAAATTATCAAATTCATCTAAGGATATCAATTTTATTCAACAGATTGTTATTTAAAGGCTGATAGAGATCGTCTCTTATCATTCTTCGGCTAATATATCATTCTTGAGATAAATATGACCCAGTTTCTCTCCTTTTGAAGGTTGATAAGACCTTCATAAAACCAAAGCTTGAGAAATATGAAAGAAAAACTTGTAGAGCTCAACAAAAATATTGTCTTAGGCTTTGTAGGCATAAATATTACTTTACTAGATTATTGCTCGATTTAGAAGATGATGGGTAAGGAAGATACTCTTCTTCCTTTCATTTTACCTCTAATTTGGTGATAATACAACCACTTGGTGGCAGCGCAGAAAAATGGAAGTAAATTTTGTTTGAGAAAGTATAGAACTTTCTAAACGAATTTAGATTCTTTCCTCAAACAAATTACACAGTATTGTTCCAGAATGCTAAAGCTCAAAGTCTAGTGGGACCTCAGCTTATATATTGAAAGATTTTTAGCCAATTGAGCAGAGTTTACAGCCATATTTACAGGTGAAGATATTTCAATTTCGGGAGGCCGAAATGGGGTTTTGGGGTTTTGGGGTTTTGGGGTTTTGGGGTTTTGGGG